TCAGAAAAAGGATCAACATGCTCTGAAGTCAGAGCACAAAAACCTTTTTTGTAACAAAATATCGATTTCTGCTGTCCCTGTATCGATACATTATTAGCAAACAAAATATCACGATACTACACAGTATCGATTTTTCCCCCACCCCTAGAAACCAGTATATAAAGAATTAATTTAGCATTACCTATTATTTTCAATCTTAAAGAAAATCAGATGGAGTTTATTCAGGTTAAAAGTAAATTAAAAATATATATATATTAGTCGCGTTTAAGAAGATTTGATTTCCATTAAAACACAACTTTCCACAACATCCTCCTGAGAACCAAGGAAAAAAGAATATTCCCATTTAACTTTTTTTTTTTGTGATTTCCTTCCTCTTTGGTGCTGAAAGAGGCCCCCCAAACATATGAGATACCAATGGAAAGCCCAGGATGTCCTCTACTTAGTATATCAGGACTTAAATGGGGGCTGAAATAAGTCAAAAGATATAGACCAAAAAACCGAGGAGATAAATGATTAGGCTGGTTCTCAGGAGGATATAACAAGCCTCTCTGGCAGATGAACTTCTCTTACGTACGGTCTTTTTTGCAAAGTTGTGAAGCCATAGCATCATTAAAAGGTGATCGGTTCATTCCAAGAATGGTCCTGGAGCAGTACTGATTATGATTGTTTATGTTACCAACAGGCCAAGATCATATTTTGCACCACCTTCTTATCCCGGAGTGCTACTAGCAACATCTGCTTCTGGAAACAGATTAATCAAGTGCTAGGCAGGCCTGGGTGTTTTTATTCTAGCTGCAACCAATTATCTCCACATAATTTTGTTTATTAGGACTTATTAATGGGACACTTTTTGTTCTTTTAAACTGGACGCAGTGTTTACTCAAGTTACCTTGTTTAATTTTGTGTTAAGATAAACACAAAATTTTATATGTTTACTTCACTGTAAAAGTTGGATTATAACTAATATGCAAATAGTTTGTAATCTAAACTACAGTTCCAATAATACGTTGAAAAACGATCCAGGTGTTTCTTATTACCTTGAAGTCATCCATGTCCTCGTCCTGTAAGGAACCTGCTGGGGATGGTGTTGCTGACAGAGGCTGCTTGGGCGCCTCTGAAGGGTGGCCAATGTTTTCACCTCCCAGGCCCAGTGAAAGCTCAGACTGGTTAATAGTAGTAAGGTGACCACTTCCCAAAAGACTATGACCAATGTCACAGAGCTGAACATCGATGGTCATGGGGGAAGAACTGCTGAAATGAGAACCACCAGAGTTGCCCAGTTCCTGTGGAGACACAAAATACAAAATGTAAATAAACCTTTACAGCACCCAACAAACAGTATCGTGTGTGCGAGTCCACAGGTGAGGTACTTACCAGGGCTGAAGAGCTCATCAGGGCTCCTCCTCCTGACTGGCCCATTCCCCCGAGGCTCTGCTGCTCCAGGCCTTGAGAGCCAGAGTTTACAAAGGTGGAAGCAAAGGAAGGGTCATTGGCTTCTACCACAAGGTTGCTAACAAGGCTACGGGAGCCCGAAGGTCCCCCGGTTCCCTCTGACCCATCTGACAGCTCAAAGTGGGCCACCGCATCACTGATACCCAGCGATGGATCTGGATCAAGGGAAATCGGGGGGATCTCGAAAACTTCATCCCCCAGACTAGGAGTATGAAATGTCTGCTGTATGTGCAGGAGAAGAGGTAACGAGTTAGTAACTAATAGACTGATGAAGGTTCGGTAAAACCAAAACGTGTGACACTGTACCATCATGCAGTTTCATGCAACCCACTCACCTCTGAGGACAAAAAGGGGTGTCCTGCTCCACTGATGGTGAGATAACTGTCACTGCCTTCCGAAAACTTAAAAAACAAACAAGCCAAAAAACCCCCACAGATAGTTAGCTCTAAACTGCCGGTTCGATACCGTTAGTCTAAGAGACCTTTTGTAAAAACACCGGTGTCGGTAAGTTACCTTATTTCCTTGGGAGTATCCACCATATGCTTGGGAGTCCAAAAACTCTGAGTCAACATTTTGAGCACAACCATCCGAGAGCTCAGAGTAGAAATTGAGATCCATTATGAAATAAATTATTAGGTAAAACTACCCCACACACTGTTCAATTTGTTTAAAATGGGATATTTCTTTTAAACTCACACCACTTTAGAGCAGCTACGCGTGTAGTAACTAAAGGTGCTAGCCGCTAGCTAGCTAAACACTGCTGACTACCATCACGTTGAGTTCGAAGAGATGTACCTTCGTCGTGAAGCTCGGTGGAAACTAGGATAAGGGGAGTGATTCAAGGTTCGTAGGAACCAAAAACTCCCATATTAGTTAAATATTATGTGTTATATCATAGCCTCGCAAGGCAGAGTTTACCGGAGGCCCAAAACACACCCATTCAAACACCGGAGACCTACTGCTACTGCTGTGACTAGCGCCCCCTCCTAACCGACAGCAGTATGTCGTGCTAGATTCACGGACCGTGGGAAAAATTGTAACTGTCACGTGTAGCGGTGCCTGTGTTTTGTGTTTTGTTTTGTTGCAACCTGACAGCTATGAACAAATACCACATGAGCTTGTTTAGAAAACGAAAGAACAGGTGTTTCGCTTTTTTTTGTTCTGCGTATAGATTTTTTGGTCTAGAGGAAAGCACTCAAATGTCCAATGAGTCTTTAACCATACCTCACACCCGATGTCCCTAATCAGACTATTCCAATATAAAAATGATATATCAGGATTATTATAAGGTAGTATTTTGTAGGTATTACATGTAGTGATTTAAAATTAGTTCAAAAGTCACTTCCAAACAACCAGTGATCCACTTCATTAACTAGTTCAGTGCTTGTTTGCTTTCATTTTATTGGCTCGGTTGTAATATTCATGAGCCCTTTATTTCATGTCTGTATTTCACCTTTCTTTACAAATTTAGAAAAAGACCAATTCAGACTGAAGTCATCACAAATGTAAAATCTGTCTAAAACAAATGCATGTTTCCCAATCTTATTTTTAGAGATGCAATTGTCTGCTCTAAACACAAAACCTACATTTACTGTCTTGGTGCAATTGCTCATCTTTAATTCTTTGTGAATATCAATATACTTCTCAATTCTAGCCTACTTATAAAACTATGGTACATATCCCAACATAATGGACAGTAACAGTAATTTGAGAAATGCAGGAAGTTTTAATCACCCCTCACCTATTTTGTAGTTTTTCTCAAAGTCAGCAGCAACAGCTTGAAAGATCCCCATTAACCACTTTAAACATTACTGACGTTGGCTAAACTTATGTGATTTCTATATGCAAAAAATATGTCCTTAAAGCAGCTAATCTAATTTGGATATTTGCTCGATTCCAAGTTCTTTTATGTGTGAGTCATATAGGTGGGAATCACCCGACAGCCCACAATATGATATCACAAACATGTAACTCAGGATACAATACCGCAGTTGTTAGCATTTTGCAATATGCCAAGTGTTGCGCTAACATATATTGCAATCTATCACTTTTTTTGAAATTGCAAATTATGTCCTCAAAGTTAAACTTTGTCAATATCTATTTTATCCACTAGGATAAATTTCAGTTATTTTTTTGACTGTCAAACGTTCCAACACGGTCACTAAAACCGGCCATAAACGTTGCCATAAGCCAGAGTCAGCCTGCAGTTAGAGCGGCAATTACATGCCATCTGTTTCTGATAATACAACAATTAACTGTGAGAAATCAAGGAAATATTACAGTTGTCTAAATAGACAGAAATTCACATTTAACCACTACATTTGTACTCAGCAACCTTCCTGTTTTATAGAAATATAACCAGCTGAGTTGAGTTCACTTGAGTTGTCTTTGTTGACAAAGACTCATTCAGACTGATGGCAACACGTTGGCAATCAGTCTGCATTTATCAAATCAAACAGTAATTATGTGCAATCCTTTAACAATCTGAGTGTGACAGTAGCCAGTGCAAGTCACACTGTGACCGTTTGCATAAAAGTTGCATCCTATCAGGCGAGATGAGGCCTCGTTTGTAATGTTCCCAGAGTATTTTAATGTATTTTACAAAACATTACCGTATTGATACAATATTACGATACCACGCTGTATCGACTCTTTTCCCTTCCACCAGTGAATAGTATGTACGATCACACTACGGGGACCAAAAAAAAAACAAAAACAACTTAACCATTAATCTCTCTTTCCTCCACTATCAGCATTTACTGAATGTAATTATTCCCCTTTTAGCGAAGGATTTTAATGAACCAATTTTATCAAATCCGAGTTATTTCTCAGGCTTCCTGTCCCAACTTAAGGATTTCCTCAAGCTGCTCTGTAATGTAAACCTTAATCGCAGCCCAATCCTCAGGAACACCTGTATCCTAAAAACACACTAAGCTCAAGTTGCACCAAATATAGTGTTTGCACATCCATGTTACATCATTATTTTCACACATTTAGCCTTGAGACAGAGTAAACTTCACAATAAATACTACTTTAGTTTCCAATATAGCTTAATAACTGCATAACATATCTCGGTTTAGGGAAAACGGGAATATTTGGAGCTCTCATACATCGTCTGCTGTAATCAGGGCATGACTATTAAACAGGAGGACATTATGTGTACAGACAGCAAACTTCCTTATTGCTTCAGCTGAGTGGAAATCGCAATAACACACACAAACGTGCTTTCACTGTAGATTGCTGTTATTCATATCACAGATACAGTCAGGTCATAAAACAAGAATAGTAACTCAATGCCGTCATCTTTGCACCATAGTACACAATTGACCAGCTCTACATTGTACAATACACCCATCCTCCTATTACGTTTCAGTAACTAATAACGCCACTTTCCCCTCTCCCTCCCTCCCTCTCTACCCCTAACCCTCCCATAGAGTGAAAACACTAACAGTACATCCATAAACTGGATCCCCTTTAAAGTTCACAGACTCGTCTGGACAGAACGAGATCCAGGGGAGATTGTGGGATCTGGCTCTGCTCAGTACACGTCCAGTTCCATGTAGCGCTAGAGGACCAGCTTTGAGGTTCTTAGATAAGAAAAGTGTATCTGTACAGCAGGGGTCCCCTTTTGGTCACGGCTGGGAATGTGATGGGAATTCGTAGGTTTTAGAAGGAAGTAGAGGACAATGACCAGTTGACAGGTAAGAAAGCTCAGCTTTTTGCCGTTTTATCAGAGGTTAGAGAGGAAGATTGAGGAGAATAAGGACTGGACACGATTGTGGGGGGGAAAACAAAAACAAACAAACAAAAAATAAATTGAAGGGTGCAAATCTGCTCCTCACATGGAAAAAAAATCCTATGTAAAACAAATGAAAAGATGTAGCAACAAATAAACCCCGGAACAAATTTATCCATAATTTGATACATAATGATAAAAATAAATGATTAGGAATAACATGATTTGTTTTGGAAAAGGGGACTAAGTCAGATGTGTTTGGAGAGGAGGGTTCAGTCAATCCTCTGAGCTTGATGAGGAGTCAGAGTCTTTCTGTGCTATGATAACATCGTCCAATAGCGCTTCCTGATCCGAGCTGTCATAGTCCCCCTGGGAAAGGCTGTCTCCTCCTTCCATTTTAACATCAAAGTCTGGACTGGTGAGGAAGTGATGAGAGGACTCCAGGTCCTCCTCGTCCATCATGTAGGCTCCATCTGACACCAGAGTCTCCTCTTCAACTCCGTCCAGGTTGGGGTCTTCGGGGGTAGGCTCTGGAGTGTGGTGATGGTGGTGGTGATGGTGATGGTGGTGGTGGTGATGATGACGGCGACGGCTTTTCTTCGGGATCTCCGAGTGCTCCGTTAGCAGTCGGTGGAACAGGGTCTCCGGCAGAAAGCCCTGTGAGAAAAAGCAAAGAATCAATATTATCTGAATTAATATGAATAATTCATCGAGTCGGCACAAAAATCAGAGTGAAAAATTATTCATTCATTCATTGAAATTTATCAAACAACTGTTTTGAGAGGCAATTTACTGCCATCTGGGTCATCATCTGACGCCGTCATTTGTGCACAATTATAGCATCAAGATCATTTTAAGCACAGCACCGCTGCATGTCCACAGCTGCGAATGTGGTGCCAAAGCTTTGGCTTTGTCCTGAAGGTGGTCAGCAAAATCAAATGTGCATGCTTTAGCCTTAGACAACTTTATTTCCGACAAGCTGTGCCTGTGATGATAGTAGATGACTCGCACTCTCTGGTTTGCTCATTTGCAGTGCTTTTCATAGATTACATTTGTTATTACTCTAACAAAATGACTGAATTCATCTTCATAAATTGGCACAATGAGCACAAAGCTTTCCACCTCCATTGAATAATTAATAATGACGTCGACCCAATGAAGTATTAGAATTATCAATAAAGATGTAATCTAATCACAAGAGTCATGTAAAATTATAGCATCTTTAATACATACAGAATTCCGAACAGTTTCGGACCACTCCGGTGCTACAGCGTTGTCGGGATTCTCCTCCAGATATTCTCTCAGGTCTTGCAACATTGGACAGAAAGCGGCTCCAACCTACAGAGAAACATTTGAATGCTTGTTAGCGAGGGGCATCATAAAGCCTAAACGTAAACATCACCAGTCTACGCTTGTGTGCAACTGCGCCTCACCTTCTTCCCTGTCCTCATGTTGATGAGTTTGACCTTCTCATTGCCTGTGATGGCTTTATCTGCCCTCCTCCTT